TGCGTGCATGTGCCAATACTGTAGCTTAACTGAAGGACATGGACACTGTCGCTGAGTTTTTTGCTCAATAATAATGCTCTACAACTTGAGCCACAGCTCTACTTCCAGTTTTTTTTAGTGGTTTATTGGAGATAAGAGTCTCAGGGACTTTCCTGCCTGGGCTGGTTTCAAACCACAATCCTCAGACCTCAGTCTCCTAAGTAGCTAGAATTATAGGTGTGAGTCACCGAGCTATCTTATAGAATTTTAATTACTTTTCACATAGATATAAGCACAGTAATTTTGGTGATGATCTAGTGCTTACTGGGGATATTTCACCCAAATTATCTTGAGCCTGGTTAATATTTAATTTAATTTTAATTTAGTAGAGACAGGTATTGGAAAGAGTTTCTAGGTCAGTACTGTGAGCTCTAAATTATATGCTCCATAGAGAAGCACATTTTATGTAGATGAAAAATCACTTGTCAGCCAGATGCCTGTGGCTGATGCCTGTAATCCTAACTACTTAGAAGGCTGAGATGTGAGGATCATGGTTGGAAGTTATCCTGGACAGGAAAGTCCATGAGACTCTGATCTCAATTAAGCATCAAAAAGCTGACAGTGGAGCTGTGGCTTAAGTGATTCAGTGCTAGCCTTGAGCAAAAAGAAGTTCAGGAACAGTGCCCAGGCCCTGAGTTCAAGCCCCAGGACTGTAAAAAATAAAATCACTTCTGTTTTAAATAAAGATGTTGTGGCTTCTATTATTTTTACATTTCAACACATTACTATGTAATGACAAAGACCTGAGAACATGTAACGGAGGCACACAATAGAAGAATTATTTGGTAATTCCTCACATTATGATTCCAAGGTCTTTAAACACTGATTTTTGCAGAGTCTGATTCTGGCCAAAACACCCTGGCCCTAGGGCCTTACATTTGAAATTCGAGTGTATTAAAAAGCTGTCACCACAAATGGTGAAAAGCTTATAAAATTGGGGTTGCTTCCAAAAGTAAGTCTATCCTTTACAGTTGGGTTGTTTCGAAAGTGTGGAGTGTGTAAACTTCTGCTTAACGCATCAAACTGTGTATGATCTTCCCTGACCGGCTGAAATCCATTCAAGAATCTAAGGCATCTTCTGCTGAAGCTAAACAGAGCTGCAGCTGTGTCTTCAGCAATATGGGAATTCCTTTGTGGAAAGGAAGGCGTGGGCAGGAGGAGGAAGAGAAAGATGGAAGAAATCAAGGGTGTGTCTGTTTTTGATTGACTGGAAGCTGTCAATCTCTGGTCATTCAATTTTGGGGCTCTAAAAACTGTAGGTGCTTTAAATTTTAATCCTTTGAGTTTGAAACTTCATTGATACATGACAAGCCAAAAAATAAATGTGTAAGTTATCCACTAAAAATATCTGAGCAACCACTACTGGCCATAGTATGTCTTATTGTCCTTAAAGGTTTTATAAAAATGTATTTTATTATCTTTAAGTAGTTGTACAAAGGGATCTCAACTCAACATGTCATATTTTGAGGACAATGCATCTTGGTCAATGTCACCCCTTCCATCTTCTCCCCCATCTCTCCCAGCCCCGCCTACCCCCCAAGTGACCTGGTTTCTTTGTGGGCACATTGAATATTATCACTGCATTTGCCCACCTTTTCTCTATTTGTTTTAGTTATTTTCCTTACCATTGTGAACATCCCAGCCCCTTATCTTTTACCCTCTCATTTTCGCTCTGATACAGTTAGATGTCCTTTAGTCATTCTAGTCTTCAAGCACCATGTTCTCACTGAGATCTACACAAGGTCCTGGGTAGATAAAATAAGAAACCTCTGGTCTGGGGCCTCAAAGGCTTTTCATCCTATTTTCTCAATAGAATGATGAATTCCTTGAAGCAAACAGTATACATTTACTTGAAGTCTTCAGTCAACAGGAGCCTCAGAAATAATTATTCATGCCAACCTTCATCTACCCACTCTGTCAGATGACCATGAGTCCATGAGGAACTGACCACAGTGACTCTGGTCCCTTCCCACACCCCATGGAATGACACTTGTCCACAACTGCCCTGCACATATTTACTGACATATCACAGTACACCCAGAAATATGTACAGCTACTGGGTGTATATTTATATAACTATATTTACATATATGTATTTATAAAATTTATGTATATATGTTTATATATACATTAATTTTATAAGTAAATAAATATTCCATTTATATACATCAATATACATATTTACATTCTTATTCTTGTCAGTTTCCATGCCTTCTTTCTTAACTAAAAATGCATATATAATATAAATGCATAAATATGACATATATATAAGATTCTTACATATAAATATAATATGCATTATAAATACACATAATATATTTATATATAATAGTTATATTAGCATGTACTTGTATATTTATACATTTTTATAAATATAATATATAAATGTATCTTCTATTTATATTCTATTTACATATATTATATCATAAATATTTTCAACTATAAATATATTTATATTTTAGATTTATATAATTATAAAATATACATGATAATATATAAATTTCTATAAACATATATTTTGAAATATATATACAACATAATATATACCATATATACAATATATATTTACAAATAGTACATCTTTATATCTTTCTTCCTCTTTCCTTCCTTCCTTTCTTCCTTTCTTCCTCTCAGCATTTTCTCTTACCTATTTTCCTCAAGGGTGATGCTCTATCACTTGAACCATATATTCTTACATTTTTCTGGTAAATTGGAGATTTAAAAAATCTCTCAAATGTATCTGCCCAGGCTTTTATGGGACCTTGGTCCTCAGATTTGTGCTTTTTGAGTTGCTAAGGTTACAGGCATGAGCTTCTGCTTCCCAGCTAAAATACACCTCATTTCATTTCTGACTTGAAATTTCATCTGTACCATATTTAATTATGAGATAATAGAAAACCAAAGACCAGGAGTTAAAAGATTTGACATGGACTCCTAAATTGGCTATCAATTTTCATTTGTCCTTTCTGGGCTTGATAGTATCATAGCTCTTAAATGATGGAAGAAAAAGAAGGCAGTTCTGTATCCTTGAGTACAAATTCTTGTATTGATTCATAAAATCCCTCATCTTCCAAAAATCATGTCATGGGAAGTTCTCTTTTTATTGTTGACTATGCTACCTGCCTTCATCTTCCTGTGCATTTGTAGGATTGTATAAGTTCCCCTATGTGACAATAAAAAGTAAGTTATTTTGTGATTTTGTACAGAAGATTGCTGTATTCGTTGGTGGTCTAGTTCCTACAACAGTCCTGGAAGGCTTTTGCTTTCATCTAGCAGCTGGCTACCATGGTGGTTAACAGATGACTTTTAAACAGCTGTCACAGCTGAAAATAAATGGAAACCAAAAGCCACACTTCCATACTATGTACAGATAGTTTGCCAGTAGTTGAAATGAATCCTTCTTGAAGACTTCTAACAAACTTTGTGTGTGGGGTGGTGGTGGTGGTGGTGGTGGTGGTGGTGGTGATGGCTGTTTTTACAATTCAACAGAAACTCATAAACTCAGACAAGCTGGCTTTATATTTCTCATGGGATCAACTCCCTAAAATTTTTAGTGGAATAACAGCCACTATTTGTTTCCAGATGCATTCAAAATGTGTTAATTGCCAGCAGAAACTGGCTTTTAAATTACAGACAAGTCTGCAAATTTTTCAATCCAAAGATTGAAGTATGAACCTTATGAGGTACCATGCTGTCTGTATAATGTTTAACCACCCTTTGGTGCTTAAATTGCTATTAATATTAAATAGAGAAAAAGGAAATAAAATTCATGTGCCAATCTGAAGGAAAGAAAAACACTTACATATTGTTGGTGAAAATGTAAATTAGTACAACCCTTAAAGGAAACATTATTGAGGTTCCTAAGAACACACACACATATACAACAACAAAAACAAAAACAAAACAGTAGTGAAGCTAGTTGTTGGTAGCTCATACCTGTAATCCTAGCAACTCAGGAGGCTGAGATACGAGGATCACAGTTTGAAGGCAGGAAATTCTATGAGACTCTTATCTCCAATTAAGTACCAAAAAGCCAGGAATGGAGCTGTGGCACAAGTGGTAGAATCCTGGTCTTGAGTACAGGGGCTTGGAATGTGGCTTAGTGGTAGAGTGCTTGTTTAGCATGCATAAAGCCCTGGGTTCAATTCCTCAGTACCACATAAACAGAGAAAGCTGGAAATGGTGCTGTGGCTCAAGTGGCAGAGTAGCAGCCTTGAGCAAAAGAAGCCCAGGCTCTGAGTTCAAGCCCCAGAACTGGCAAAAAAAGAAAAAGAAAAGTTCAGGGACACTGCTTAGGCCCTGAGTTCAAACCCCAAGACCTGCACACATTAAAAACAACCCTATGTCTTAAGGACAACCCTTCCCCACCTTGTTCTCTTTTCATTTTTACATGACCAATTTTGCTATTGCCTGAAAATCCTATAAGTTAGTTCTAACTCCCAATGGAGAAAAGGCTAGGACAATGGCATTTTCTGAAGGAGGATTCTGGGTACTGATTGGTCGTTGCTATTTGGTATGGTAGTAGGGACTGGTGTGGTAGATTGTGGTTAGGCCCTTGTGGGAAACTCATTTCTGAACTACGGCATATGGATCTGCAGACATCAGTTTGACAACTTTAATAGTTCCTCTGTGTGTGTGTGTGTGTGTGTGTGTGTGTGTGTGTGTGTGTGTGTGTATGGATGGCTAGCTTCCTTCTTTCTGCAGGGTAATTTTACCCTGTCCTATGAATGCTCTGAGCCTATGTTTATTATCTTCAGTGTCTTACCTTTGATTGAAACCAGGCAGAAGGCAGGTTTGTGCTCCATCATCTTGTAACTGGCAGGGATGGAAATAAGACGTGAGAATTAAAACATGGCTTATGATGAAAAATGTATTTAACAGGTGAGTTTCTTTTCTGGTGATTGACAGCTCTCTTGCCTAGGGAAATGTCTGATATTTGTATCCATTATATGTATATTTAGGTTCCACGTGGACACCTCATAAACAGAAGAAATAAGAAACAGGATGAGAAATTGATTATGTTCGCCAATCAGTGTGAAGATCCTGAAAGGTAGCATTTATAATTATAACCTACATTGTTCTAATCTAGTGCTCCAGTCAGAGCACATGGTTTTCAGACAAAGATGGTGAGTCCAATTAGACCATAGGAGAATGTGTCTGGGTGGGTGCTAGTGGCTCATTCCTGTAATCCTAGCTACTCATCAGGCTAAGATCTGAGGATCATGGTTCAAAGCCAACCAGGGCAGGAAAGTCTGTGAGACCTTATCTCCAATGAAGCCAGAATGGAGCTGTGGCTCAAGTGGTAGAGCACTAGATTTGAGTGCAAAAGCTCAGGGACAACGTCTAGGCCTAGAGTTCAAGCCCCAGGAGTAACACACACACACACACACACACACACACACACACACAAAGAGTGTACCTGGGTGGAATCATTGATCATAGATAAGAAAACCAAGGCATGCATTGGTGTGGTGCCATCCCTCTTCTATTGTTATCTAAGGGGCAAGGATTATGGTAGGTTATGGGAATTGTTCGATTTTTAAGTTATTTGGTATATTTTCATTGACAAAGCTATGGTAGTTTGGATGATTTGTTTATACTTGTACAAATTCTCTTCTAGGAATCTACTCAATGTCACCAATAAGATGAAGATGTAGCTATATCTGTCTCCTGATTTTGTTTAATCCTCAGCTCAGATATGATGTGATACATTTTCTGAATCCCTTATTTTAAAACATGCCTTCATCAGCCACTTTCTCCATCCTGTCAAGCTTCCAATGTTTCTGCAGATTCAGCCTATTCTTTGGTGAGAGTGGTTCCTTAGCACTTTTTGATGCCATCTTCTGAGCAATGAGTGTTCACATGCCTCCTTTAGAAGGCACAACATGTTACTATCTATTATACTTACAAATGGCATAGCCTTCTCTTCGAAACTGCCATCAGCAAGAGGACATGGTCTGAGTTTCCATTGTTTTCTGCAAACAGCTAGCACCACATCTAATATACGAAGCTTGATGTATAAAAGCTGGGTGCTGGTGTCCATACCTTTAACCCTAGCCACTCAGGAGTCTGAGATCTGAAGATCATGATTTGAAGCCAGCCTGGGCAGACAAACCTGAGAGACTCTTATCTCCAATTAACTACCAAAAAAAGCCAGAAGTAGAGCTGTGGCTCAAGTGGTAGAGGACTAACCTTGAGCACAAAAGCTCAGAATTCAAGCCCTGGATTCAAGCTCTAATATAGGAAGGAAGGAAGGAAGGAAGGAAGGAAGGAAGGAAGGAAGGAAGGAAGGAAGGAAGGAAGGAAAGAAGAGAGGGAAGGAAAGAGAAATAATAAGATTCAGGTTCTCATGTCTGTGTTTCTCACACAAGAGTTCTCAGAGTCTGTAGATCTGGAAACTTCTCTGGTTCTTAGCCCATGAGAAGTTATTTAAAGAGACTTATGTGTGCTCCCAACATGATAATAATGGTGGTGAGTGCAAGCAACCATTTAGAATTTTGAGCCACAGACTGACAATAGGAAAATCTAGCAGTATTGTGTAAAATTGACAATACCAGAAACTTTAATAGATAAAGCTGTTCCATCCCCCAATCTACTGGCACTCAGTACTTATGCATTTTGTTGTTGTAGAACAGTTAACCTTCTTGTTTTTGTTTGTTTATATTTGTGCCAGCATTGGGGTTTGAAATCATGTTCTCACACTTTCTTGGCTTTTTTTTTACTCAAGGCTGGCACTCTATCACTTGAGCCACAGCTCTACTTCTGGCTTTTTGGTGTTCAATTAGATATAGGAGTCTCACAGACTTTCCTGCCTAGGCTGGCTTCAAATTGTGATCCTCAAATTTCAGCCTCTGGAGTAACTAAGATTATAGACATGAACCACCAGCACCTGAACATTTTTAGTATATTTTAAAATGGATTATGCATTCAGGAAATTTACTTAGGAAGGAAAGCTCTTCTGATTCATCTCAGCTTGAGGTGGGAATAATTGCAGAAGAAGAAAACAGATGCGAGTTCTCCAGAAGTGCCCCTTGGCATTATGCGCAGTCCCTGCAGCATCCTGCAGCCTCTGATACTACTGGCTATCCATATACTATATAAAATATATATATAATATTATATAAAATATATTTATAACTACATTAAATGTATACATAAAAGATTTATAACTATGTAAATGTATATAATATATAAAATATATAAATATACATAAATGTTATACATATATACATGCATATATATGGATATATAAACATACATAAATGCAATGTTATATATATGTACATGGATATATATGTATATATAAACATATACATAACTACAATGTAAATACATATATAAATATATAAAATATAAATATATACATACATTATATATGTATAGTGTACAAATCATATATACACTCTCCCTTAGCTTTTTTTGCTCAAGGCTGGTGCTTTCTTTTCCACTTAAGCCATGGCTTCATTTCTGGCTTTTTAATCTTTCTTCTGAGGTAAGAATCTTACAGAGTTCCCTGCAGGCTGGCTTTGAACTGCAGTTCTTAGATCTCAACCACCTGAGTAGCTAGGATTACAGGTGTGAGCCACTGGTACCAGGCTTAATTCTTTTTGCCTGTTTCATCCTTACCATTCTTTCTTGACTCTAAATTTCCCTATTTTGGCAAGTTGGGGTAAAGAACCTTTGATACAATTACTATCTACAACTGAAGAGGGGTTAATTCTCTTATTTTGTTAGAAATCTCTTCTGAAGGGGCTGGGAAGGTGGCTCAGTGGTAGAGCGCTTGCCTTGCATGCCTGAGGCCCTGGGTTCGATTCCCCAGCACCACATAAGCAAAAAGAAAAAAGCCGGACGTGGCGCTGTGGCTCAAGTGGTAGAGCGTTAGCCTTGAGCTGAAGAGCTGAGGGACAGCGCCCAGGCCCAGAGTTCAGGCCCCACGACCGGACCCCCCCCAAAAAAAGAAATCTCTTCTGAAGAGCTGGACCAGTATTTTTAAAATAACACAGAACATCACAGATCCTCAGAATTGTTCTGCGAAGATTCCTAATTCATTTATTTGCAATACAAATTTGTCAGTTTTTCAGAAATTATATTTTTTGAAATGAATGAATATAAAAGTCACATTGGGTTTTGGGTCATTGGTCTCATTAAATTTCTTCTCTTTCCAAACAAAGAGGGTAGCCGCTTAACCCTGTATTTATATGTAATATAATAAATATGATTAACTTTTATCGATGGAGAAGTTTAAAGAAAGTGAAGACAAGAGACTCTGGGAGATCTTCCAGTTTCTCTGGTTTCCATAAAACACATTTGGGAAGTATTTCTCAGGGGATCAGCTCTCCTGGGTTGAACACTGGCTTCCATTTTCTGAAGCTTAGCTTCTCTAGGAAGCCCAAGCAGATAGCTATGGTGTAGCTTTTGTCTTGTCTGGTTTTACTAATTTGTGCTTGCTTAAATTCTTGGATTCAACACAACAGTCATTTGTAAAGGTGTCATCATGAGTTGGATGCTGGCTACTTGTACCTATCACCCTAGCTACTCAGGAGCCTGAGATCTGAAGATCACGGTTTGAAGACAGGCTGAACAGATAATGGGAGAGAATCTTATCTTCAATTAACCAGCAGAAAGCCAGCAGTGCAGATGTGTCTCAAGTGGTAGAGCACCAGCCTTGATTGAAAAAGTTAAGGGAGAATGAGAGGCCCTGAGTTCAAGCATTAGTTAAAACAGAGAGAGAGAGAGACAGACAGACAGACAGAGACAGAGATAGAGAGACAGAGAGAGAATGAAAGCTATTACCATGGCCCCAGCAGTGTTCAGGAGACATTGCTGGAAAGCATGTTCAGTTAGGATTTCTCCAAGAACTGGCATCTCAGTTATGTATCATTTACCTGCCTAGGACCCTCACTGGCTCTATATTGAATTTTGTATCTGGAGATTAGAAACTCTCCAGCTTTTCCCTCCATGAAATGTCTTTCATGTAAGCTGCTGGGGGCCAAGTGCTTGTTGGGAGGTCTATGCCAGGCCTGGGCAGGCCACAGACAGCCAGCAGCCAGAGAATGAGTGATGTGCGTTCCATTGTGTGTGTGGAGACTCTAAGAGTCATTCTCTTCTTACAAAATCAGCTCCTCCTGCCTGATGATTGAATCCACAGTCCCGTTAGTGCAATCCACCCAGTGACTGTGGCTTGAATGTGAGGCGCTTCTAACCAAGTCACATGATGGGAGTAACTGCATTCGTGAACTCATGGTTTTTCAGGGCAAATTGGCAAAACCAAATGCACTAATCTCTCTGAGTCTCTGACAAGAGGTTATGTGAGTCCACTGGGGAAATAATGGGGGGAAAATGTAAGGATTTGAGTTTTGGAAACTTTTCTTGGGCTTTAGCTATGGTGGGTGAAGTGGGCTTTTCTCTGGAAGGCTCGGCTTGGGGTACAATAGTGCCAGATACGCCTCTGTTCAATGTGGGTTTGCTGTAGAGAGTATGCAGCTTGTGTTGAGAATTTGTTTAAAAGACTCTCTCTGTGTGTGTGCGTGTGTGTGTGTGTGTGTATCTGTGTGTGTCTGTGTGTCTGTGCTGATAGGTACCAGAGCTTGAACTCAGGGTCTGAGCACTGTCCCCTAGCTTTTTCATTCAAGGATCATATTCTACCACTTGAATCATAGCTCTACTTCTGATATTTTCCTGGTTAATTGGGGATAAAGTCTCATAGACTTTCCTGCCCTGGCTGGCTTTGAACTGTGAACCTCAGATGCCAGCCTCTTGAGTAAGCTAGGGTTACAGGTGTGTGCCATTGGCTTTTGGCTCAGAGCAGTGTTTTTATGTCACAGAAAGTACTGTTATATAAAACATGAAATTTATTTTAAAGATCAAACTATTTGGTTGCTTATCTTTGTTTTCATTTTTCTGTACTATATCAAACTTTATTTATTTTAGGACACAGTTGGAAGTTGTACCTTGATATACAAACAGAAAGTTAGCTATAAACATTGCCAATGTAACTTAAACAGTTTCATACTGCGTATCTTGTCATTATTGCAATACTTGAATTTAGCA